ATCTCTTGGAGGGTTTAATAGAAAATACTGATGTTCAAGCTCAAACCCAATAGGTTCTAATTTAATTGGTCTGGGGTTGGGTGAGTCTAGGCATTGTTACTATTTTTTTAAAGTCCTCAAGTTGATCCTAATGTGTAGCCATCTATACCAAAACCCACACTTAAACCTTAAACTGGTGACACCTGGCACAGAAAAGCCTCCCAAGGCAGGGCCCATCAGTCAGATTTCCCATTTTCACTGAAGCTCGTACCTGCAGGAAGCCAAGGCCACTCCCAGGGTTACTGGGGCCGAGCCGGGGCTGTGCTGGGGGTGGGGCCACAAACTCTGCGGCCCTTAAGAAGGGAGGTTGTAGCCTGAAGAGGAGGCTCCTGGCTTCTTCTTGTGATCAGGGCAGGACCCGCAGATGACTAGGCATTCTAAAGAAATCCACAGGCAGAAATGAAGTCCCTTCCTGGGCATACAGAGGCCACAGCAGCCTCAGCAGCAGTTCTGAGTTCTGGGGTTCTAGAGGACCAGGGGTGACCCTGGAGAAGAATGGGCCATTGTTGCGTAAGAGGGGGCCCTGCCTGGCAGCCCTTGCTGAGTTCACTTGAAGGGCCAGAAATAAAACTCACTGTGGGGTGCTGGATATGGCCCAGGAGGGCTTTGAACTCAGTGCCTATAGATTGGAATTTGAATCCCAGCTCTATCTTGAACAGCTGTAGGGTCTTGAGAATGTCACTTACTCTTTCTGAGGTTCAGTTTCCATGCCTGTAACATGGCATCTAACTCAGAGAGGTGTTGTTAGCAAAGTAAATTATGTGGAATTTAGAAGATAATGAAGGCTATGAAGAAAAATAAAACCTGAAAGGATGATGAGGAACGCCTGAGAGGGGGATGGGATAAAACAAGATGATTTATGCAAAATGAGCAGCTCGGTACCTAGAAGGCAGTAGCCCCCTCACCCATCACCACCCTGGCCTCATCTCCTCGGGGAGAAAGATCTCTACTTACCCTGCTCCAGCCACACTGGTGTGTCCCTGCCAGTCTTTCAATACAATGTCAGGGCCTCTGCACTTGTGGTTTTTCCTGCTGGGGAGGCTCTTTACCCAGGTAGACTCAAGGTTCACCCTCTTAGCTTGTTCCAGTCTTTGCCCAAATCTCACTTCCACAGTTGGGCCTTTCCTGGCCACTTCGTTTAAACTTGTAAGGGCCCCATCCCCATCTCAGGCATTCCTCATCATCCTTCCAGGTTTTATTTTTCTTCATAGCATTAATTATCTTCTAAATTGCACATAATTTACTTTGCTTACCAGGTGATAGGTGCTCAATAAATATTTGTCGAATGAATAAAGAAAAGGCTGTTGATATTATTAGCATCGTTATTATTGTCAGAGTTTGCAACCTTTGGCTATCTGCTGCCCAACTCTTATTAAATACTAATGGAGATGATTAACATTCATTTCACTAAATTTTAACATCTGTGGGTTTTAGTCCTAGAGCTTTGCTCTGCTCTCTCTTTTCTTTTTCTTTGAGACAGTGTAGTGGCGCCATCTCCACTCACTGTAGCCTTCACCTCTAGGGTTCAAGCGATCCTCCTGCCTCAGCCTCCCGAGTAGCTGGGACTACAGGCACGTGCCACCACGTCTGGCTAATTTTTGTGTTTTTAGTAGAGACGGGGTTTCGCCATGTTGGCCAGGTTGTTCTCAAACTCCTGACCTCATGGCTCCACCCGCCTCGGCCTCCCAAAGTGCTGGGATTACAGGTGTGAGCACGGCACGTGGCCCCGCTCTTCTCTTTCCATACTTAACTTCTATACTTTTGTTGGCTTGTTTCAATGCATGAGTTCAAATATTCCCCTTTATAAGTTACTCCCTCATTTACTCCCCTGGATTTGATCAACTGATTGCATTTACTATTAAGACTGTTTTCTGTCTGCCTATTAGAAAAGCTCTTCTTGGTTGAACCACACTCATTGAATACCCGAATGTCTTAATTTGAACTCATCATGTCCCTTTCAACTTTTCTTGCCAATTATTCCTTTTCTGGATGCTGTGTTCGTAAATAATTCCTGGGGTATGTTTGACTCTTTCTTCTCCGCTGTCCAAATCAACCATCTACTCTGGCATGTATTATTTTGACATCTTTCACACTTGTCAACTTTTCGTCACAAACTAAAACACTTGGGTTATTATCTCAAATGGCCTTTATTCACTTTCCTTCACTCTTGGACACAGTTAGTTGTTTCTTGGCATAACATAGACACTTTCATGGTGATACTCATTTACCGATAAAGCTGCTGCTTCTTTATTTTTTTATTTTATTTTTTGAGACAGAGTCTCGCTCTCTTGCCTAGGCTGGAGTGCAGTGGTGCAATCTTGGCTCACTGCAACCCCCACCTCCTGAGTTCAAGTAATTCTCCTGCCTCAGCCTCCTGAGTAACTCGGATTACAGACATGCGCCACCATGGCCGGCTAATTTTTGCATTTTTAGTAGAGACGAGGTTTCACCATGTTGGCCAAACTGGTCTCAAACTCCTGACCTCAGGTGATCCACCCGCCTCGGCCTCCCAAAGTGCTGAGATTACAGGCGTGAACCACTGTGCCCCACTTAAAGTTTCTTTTTATAAAATAACATTAATTTCTTTCTGATTAGAAAAGAACAGGATTTAATTTATAAAACATAGAATATACAGAAATGAGTTAATTAAAATCATACATCATCTTACTTAGAGAAACATTCATATTTTGTTATGTATGGGATTAATATATACTTTTTAAAAATAAAATTGTGATTATATTATCTATAAAGTGCATCCAGTTCTTTCATTGAACATTTGTGAAACATTTGTCATGTCTTATGATTATATATCCTTTTAAAAAGTACTGATGGAGAGTAGTGATATTGAGATTAGACTGCCGGAAAAATAGATAATATCCAACAGTCCGTACACCCTACTGAGGGTAGAGATTGTATCTTTAGATCTGGCTGGAGATTCAGAGATGAGGTTGTATCCTGGGTCGCAGTAGAGGACTGAATGCTGAGCAAGTGGACACTGAAGGCCCAGAAGATGGTTCCCTGTGGCCAAGCTTGGCAGCAAGGGAGAGGAGCTGCCTGCGTGGAAATGAGCCAAACTGGCCAGGCCAGGAAATGAGACAGAGTCACAGGGGAACAACACACAGTGACGGATAAAAATCCGGTGTGATGTTTGAATCACTGCAAAGAAAGGCAGTTAATGGTTCAGCGTCCTCTCCATAGGACACCCATAACCCTGTCATTGCAACAACATGGATGGAACTGGAAGTCATTACATTAAGGGAAGCAAGTCAGGCATAGAAAGCAAACATTCTGTTCTCACTTACTTGTGGGAGCTAAACAGGAAAACAAACGAACTCATGGAGACAATAGAAGGATGGTTGCCAGAGTCTGGAAAGTGTTGCAGGGAGTTGGAGGAGAAGGGGGATGGTGAACGGGTACAAAAAAGTAGTAAGAATGAATAAATAAGGCCTAGTATTTGCTAGCACAATAGGATGACTATCATCAACAATAATTTAACCATACACTTAAAATAACTACAATAGTATAATTGGATTGTTTGTAACACAAAGGATAAATGTTTGAGGTGATGGATACCCCATTTACCCCGATGTAGTTCTAACGCACTGCATGCCTGTATCAAAATATCTCATGTAACCCATGAATGTATATACCTCCTATGTACCCACAAAAATTAAAAATAATTTAAAAGGAACTTCAGAGAACAAACAACCAAAAGCCTAGTATGGCTGGAGCAGAGTGAGACGGGGCTTTGAGGAGAAAAACTCGCAGGAATCCCTGTGGGGCCCTGTAGGCAACTGACAGGACTTTTTGTTTGTTTGTTTGTTTTTGTTTTTTTGAGACGGAGTCTTGCTGGGTCTCTGGCTGGAATGCAGTGGCGCGATCTTGGCTCACTGTGACCTCCGCCTCCCGGGTTCACGCCATTCTCCTGCCTCAGCTTCCCCAGTAGCTGGGACTACAGGCGCCCACCACCACGCCCTGCTAATTTTTGTATTTTTAATAGAGACAGGGTTTCACCGTATTAGCCAGGATGGTCTCAATCTTCTGACCTCGTGATCCACCCACCTCGGCCTCCCAAAGTGCTGGGATTACAGGCATAAGCCACCGCGCCTGGCAATTGTCAGGACTTTGGCTTGGACTGTGAGTGAGATAGGGAACTGTAGGAAGCTTTTTCAAAAAACCACCTTTGTGCCAGGTGCAGTGGCTCACACCTATAATCCCAGCACTCTGGGAGGCCAAAGTGGTCAGATCACTTAAGGTCAAGAATTGAGACCAACCTGGTCAACATGTTGAAACCCCATCTCTACCAAAAAAATACAAAAATTAGCCAGGCGTGGTAGTGCGTGCCTATCGTCCCAGCTACTCGGGAGGCTGAGGTGGGAGGATCACTTGAACCCAGGAGGTGGAGGTTGCAGTGAGTCAAGACTGCACCATCGCACTCCAGCCTGGGCGACAGAACAAGAGCCTGTCTCAAAAAACAAACAAACAAACAAACACCCAAAAAACTTCTTTGGGCAGTGTACAATTATTATTACTATTTTTTGCAGGAAATTTACAGAGTTGTGCTGTCATGACCACAATCCAAATTTAGAACAATTCTATGACTTCAAAGGGATGCCTTAGGGCCATTCCCTGGAACCACTCCTCTGTTCTCTCTGTATCTATTGGAGGGTTCTAAGCAGAAAAGAAAGTCTGACTTATATTTTTATCACTATTGTACCTTTTCTGTTAAAACATCATAATCTTCTTGTTGCTTTTTCTGATTAGATGGCAACTTGAATTTTTAGGGAATCTATCCACCAGTTTCGGTGCACCCACCAGGCATGACAGTTGAGGTCTGATCTTCCAGCCACTGTGAGTACTGAGCCAACTTGGCAGGAGGCCACTTTCACTGGCTCAGCGCACCCTGACCAGTTAAAGCCACTGTGTCAGCTGCTGGGTTCTGGCTCTGCCCACTCTTGGCTGCATTTGGGGCCGAAGTTCCCTGTGGGAGGCTGTTTTCCGAGGGCGCCCAGTGTTTACAGGCGTTCAGGTCTGCTCCGCTCAGCTGAAGCAGAAAACAGAGACCTTTTGCATTACTTTGGTTCAAGAGCAAGGTAATTTGGAAAGAAAGTTTTCAGCCGAAGGTGTCAGCTGCCTCTGAGGCCTTTGCCGATTAAACCAGGAAGTGACATCCGAAATGGTGTCCGGGAATGGGAAGGAAGCCTGGGGATTCTAAATTATCAGCTGTTTAGGCGCCTGAGGAATCCAGGGGTGGGAGACTGAGGAAAGGATTGGGGCAGAGTTCAGGAGAGGTGAGGGGCAGGAGAGGTGGCTCAGAGAAAGGAAGTTTCTGAGGCGCAGGCCTAGGCCTGGTGGCCACTGCAGAGGCTGGGGCCTATGTTTTTCCAGGAAGTGAAACCTGAAAGTCACTTTTCCCCTTAAGCCTCACTTTCTTTATCTGTAAATGGAGAAAATAACGTTTACAGCATAGAGCTGTTATAAAGATTTAATGAAATAATGCCTATAAGCACTTTTAAAATGCTTGGTACACAGTAGGCCTTCGATAGACTGTAGCTGTTACAGTTTTTCTTGTTGTGCCACGTTATTATTGTCGGTTGTTATTACCACATTTTGTTATTACCATATTTTGTTATTATTATTACTAAGAGGAATTTAATGCAAGGAAACTGAAACTGAGGTCACATGCAGCTCCCGGGCCAGTGTCTCTCAAACTTTAACATGTTAACTTTAATATCTGAACATCCTGTTAACTTGCAGATTCTAATTCTACAGGTGTAGGGTGGGGCCCCATCTGCTGGTCCCCAGATCACACTTTGAGTAGCAAGACACTAAAACTGGGCTGGGCACAGTGGCTCACATCTGTAATCCCAGCACTTGGGAGGCCGAGTTGGGAGGATCACTTGAGGCCAGGAGTTCAAGCCCTGCCTGAGCAACACAGTGAGATCCTGTTTCTACAAAAAAACCTTTAAAACATTTAGCCATACGTGGTGGCTAGTGCCTGTAGTTCCAGCTGTAGGAAGGCTGGGGTGGCAGGACTGCTTCAGTTCGAGGCTGCAGTGAGCTGTGATGGCACCACCGTACTCTAGCCTGGACAACAGAGTGAGACTGTCTCAAAAATAACAATAATAAAAATTTTGAAAATAAAATTAATTTTAAAAAATTTAAAAAAATTAAAGACACTAAAACCACATCATGCCATGTAGCAGCCACTTGTGGCTTTTGAGCCTTTGAAGTGTGGCTAGTCCAAATTGACCTGTGTTTGTAAGGGTAAAATCTATATCAGATTTTGAGGACTTAGTACCAAAATAAACAAAAAATAAGTAAAAGGATGTAAAATATCTCTTTACCAATTTATTCGTCTATTGACTATGCATTGAAATGGTCATACTTTGGCTCTATCTGGTTAAATAAAATGTATTATTATAATAAATCTCACCTGTTTCTACTTTTCTTAATGGAAGTAGTAGAGCATTGTAAATTGCACAGGTGACTAACTTTCTATCTCTATTGGACAGTGCTGCCCTAGAGCTGTCTTCAACTTTGTAAGGTCAGTTCAGGATTGGCCAAAGGCTTTTTGAGGGATTCCGTTTGAAGTACTGAACCTTCAGAAGTGGGCTCTGATTTCTGACCCAGAGGCCCACAGTCAGTGAGAGTTCAAAAGGACGGATCTCGGGGTCAGAGGAGAGAAATGACCATCACAGAGAAGAACTGAGACTGAAGTTGGAGAGTTTGTTCTGCAAGTCAGTAGGGACCACAGTCACCGTCAGCACTGACCACAGGTTTCTCCTAACCTCGTGTTGTCCCCAAAGTCCAAAATATATGACAATGCCCTCTTTCCTTTCTTTGGTGACAGACAGGAGGCGACCACATGAGACCATGGTTGAGACACCTGGTCCTCCAGGTACTGAGGAACTCCAGGGGATTCTGTGGGTCTCGCGGGCAGCCAACACCTCTACCTGTTCCTCAGAAGATCGTGGCCACCTGGGAAGCCATCAGCCTGGGAAGGCAGCCGGTGCCTGAGTACTTCAACTTTGCCCATGATGTGCTGGATGTGTGGAGTCGGCTGGAAGAGGTGAAGCCTGTTCTGTCCTAGAGTCCATCTGGGGCATCTGAGGCTGCCCTCAGGTACCACAATGAGACTCAAGACTCCAAGACATGTTGATGAGAAAATCTGGACCTGGGAATTTTGCTGGTTCCAAAATGTAAACTGTTAGCATTTGAGACTTAGGAAAAAAAATCTGAGTCAGTGTTGTGAGCCTTAGACATGCTTGTTCCTTCTCTGAAGTGTCCTGCATTCTTGAGCCCAAATCACACAGTGAGACAGTTATGTCCCTTCCGATTCCCTTCTAGTTGTTCATCAACTGAAGGAGGAAGTTTTGTTTTGCGGCTACTCTTTGATGTCTCTTGTTCAGTGTTATGCGCTTCTCTTCTAAATAAGGAAAGAAGGCCGGGCGCGGTGGCTCACGTCCGTAATTCCAGCACTTTGGGGTGCCAGGAAGGGCAGATCACCTGAGGTCAGGTGTTCAAGACCAGCCTCACCAACATGGTGAAACTCTGGCTCTACTAAAAATTAAAAAAATAAAATAAATAAAAAAAAATTAGCTAGGCATGATGGCACACACCTGTAGTCCCAGCTACTTTGGAGGCTGAAGCATGAGAATTGCTTGAACTCAGGAGGCAGAGGTTGCAGTGAGCTGAGATCATGCCACTGCACTCCAGCCTAGACAACAGAGCGAGACTCCATCTCAAAAAATAAAATAAAATAAGACAAAACAAAATAAAATAAGGAAAGAATAGGGCTCAGGCTCAAAGCTTTTTGCAGATCATAACAGATACATAGAATTGAATTAGAGAACCCTGATTTATTTGTGTGTCTCTGTGCATCTGCTTTCTTCCTTATTTTCCCTTATATCTGTGTCTGTTGAGTCTCTCTATTTCATGGTTACTTTTTATTTGTGTTACATGATACTAACTTTTCATTTATAAGAGGAAGACCTACTTATAAAACTGTATTTCAACCAATGTGAAGCTTAACTGATGAGAAAAGCCTTTTCCCTGGGGGTTTTGTCCAAAACAATTACAGACAAATGTTTAACTTCGTTGTTGCCTAAGGCGATGGATAACAGTAGGGACAAACAATAGACTCACCAAAAAGTGAAAAAAGAAAAGCTGGAGAATACAAAACTGGAAATATAAAATTTAATTCAAAGAATTGTATTCATGTTAATTATAACATGAGATTGTTTAAAGAAAAAATATGATGTAAATGGCATTGTTAGTAGATACAGTAAAATTAACTGTCAGCAGATATAGTGAAACTTATGAAGGTGGTATGAGGATGACTGAGACTTAAAAGCAGGCTTTGCAGTCGGATAGACATTGTTCATCCATGTACTTGAAGTGTGACCTTGGACAAGTGCCCTAAGTTCTTTAGATCTCAACTTTCTCATCTGTACAATGATAGTCATACCATATGTTACTTAGAGTAATAGTGAGAATTAAATGAGAAGTGCATGTAAGAGATGAAGCCAGGATGCTCCATTCCTGATGGCCTACAAAAATCTAAGTTCTTTATGCAATACTAGGGGCATCCTTAGAAGACTTCTCCTAATGATAAAAACAAGCAAGCAGGATTAGGTGAGGAAAAAATGGTAGAATAAGGACTTTCCAGCTATGCGGTAGCCTTGAAAAATAACAGCCCCCATTTCTTGTGCATCATGGCAACCATTAGAGGGGACAGAATGGAGTTGGAGTTTTTTCAAAGCTTCACTTAGGAAGAACTGTTATTATTTGAGCTGCCCATTGGTTCTTTAGAAGACCCTACTTGTAAAACTGTATTTGAATCAACTTGAAGCTCAACCAATGAGAAAAGCCTTTTCCCTGGGGGTTTTTGTCCAAAACAATTACAGACAAATATTATAGCTTCATTGTTCCCTAAGGTGATGGATACCAGCGGGACAAACAATAGACTCACCAAAGAGTGAAAAAAGAAAAGCTGGAGAATCTAATGTCTATGGGAGCTTTAAAAAATATATTGGATTCCTGGAAATCTAGAAAGCAACACACCTAAGTAAGGCTGTGTTCTTTCCCAGGGCTTTGCACATGCTTAGGAAAGATCTGAGGAAACTCTAAGCTCTCACTTCTGGCAGACTGAGAGTTTGAGCATGCAGGAAATTAAGACTGAGGCAGGATTGTTAATTGCCTGGCTGAATGCTAAAGGTGTGCCTCAACACCCACCCAAAGACTGGGAGATTTATTGGTTTCAGGCACTTAAAGAAATTTCTGTCTAATCAGAAGATGACTACTAAGCTAACCAAGTAGAGATCTCAGTGGCCACATAGAACAAATAATGCACACTTCACAGAAATGGTTCACAAAAGTCACTAAACAAACAACAACAATCAGCAACAACAAACCAAACTCTGGGGAGTTGCAGGGAATGGATGGGGGGGAGGGATCTGATTTCCTGAGTAATCAAATGATGTAATTTTAAATGTATAGTTTTTAACAAAAATTTACAAGATGCTCAAAGAAACTTGAAATAGCATGGCTATGGTTATCAAAATAATGCACCCCTTCCCCAAGATTTTTACATCTTAATCCCTGAAACCTGGGAGTATGTTATCTTACACGGCAAAAGAGACCTTGCAACCATTATTATAACTAAAGATATTCATATGATGAGATTATTCTGGATTATCTGGATAAGCCCAATATAATCATAAGGTACCCTATGAGAAGGAAGGAGGGTCAGAGTCAGAGAAGGAGATATGACAATGAAAACAGAGGTGGGAGTGATGTGGGGCCATGATTCAAGGGATGTGAATTGCCTCTAAAAACTAGAAAATGCAAGGACACAGGCTCTCCACTAAAGCATGCAGTAGGAAAACAATTCTTCTGATACCTTACGGTTAGTCCACCAAGACTGATTTGGAACTTTTTATCTCCAGAACTATAAGGCTGTATATTTGTGTTGTTTTATGCAACTAAGTTTTTGGTAATTTATTACAGCAGCAATAGATAGGATTATTCAAAACCAATACAGATTTTGGCACCAAGAGTAGCAATGAGAGCTGTAATAAATACCAAAGGATGTGCAAGTAGGTTTGGAATTAGGTGATGGGTAGAGGCTTGAAGAATTTTGAGGAGCACAGAAAAAAGCCTGGATTGCCTTGAGCAGACTGTTAGCAGAAATGCAGATATTAATGATTAATGAACGAGACCGCAAAAAGAAAGGAGGAACATGATAGATGAGACTTGTATTATTTTAAAGAATCATGAATCATGAACAGACTGTTGGTAGAAATATGAACATTAAAGGCACAGATGATAAATACTCAGAAGGAAATGAAAAATGTAATATCAGAAACTAAAGGAAAGTGGATCCTTATTACATAGTGGCAGAAATTTTGGCTGACTAGCGTCCTAGAGCCATATGGATAGAAGAACTTATAAGGGATAACCTTGGATATTTAGCTAAGAAGATTTCCCAGCCAAGTGTTGAAGATGTGGCCTGATTTCTTCTTGCTGGTTATATTACAACGCTAAAGGAAAGAAAGAGATAGAGGAAAGAATTGTTAAGCAAAAACAGAGCCAGAACTTGGTGGTTTGAACAATTCTCAGCCTTCTTATATTATAAAAGACATTAAAGTTAGGATATTCACTGTCAGAAAAGTATGCTGCAAAGGGAAATCCAAGAGTGTGGTTGGACAATCTTTTGCCAGCAATTCAAGTATCAAAAAGTCACAGAGAACTTTTTAAAGAGATTAGACATGGGGCTCCTGAGTTCCTTCAGTCATGGAGGCAGAAACCAGCAATAGAGATGGGATTATGTGGAAAAGTTCTGTGGAGGAGCTACTTCTCTAATGGGATGAATCACTGAGACATACATGAGAGAACCATTAGTTTCTTGAGAATGTTATATCAGCAGAAACACTGCCATCTTGTACTGGACAGAGAGAGGAAAATATAAAAGAAGGCTGTTGGACTCCCCAAATTCTACAGGCAGGAAGCAGATGGTTAAAGCTACTTAGCTGCAAACATGTGTCACCCTTCTTGAAAAAGAAAAGATTGTTTAGGGCAGAGTTGTTAGCCAAGAATGTGGAATTGGGAGCCCAGAGGGTGGAGCTGAGCAACTAGAAAGCAAAGCCACAACCACAGAGGATTAAGGGCTTTGACACATAATAGAGTTTTCTCAGTTGGATTCAGAGTTGCTTGGGATTGGTGACTCATTGTTTTCCTTTTATTTTAATCCATTGTTTGAATGGATATCTCTGTGACTATTATGGAATCCCTGCTTCATCATTGTATTTTAAGAGCAGATAACTTAATATTTAATACTTGAGTAAGGAGCAATAAAAAATGAAGTTAAGAAATAATTTTATTTACTAATAGCATCAAAAAGAATGAAATACATATAAGTAAATTTAACCAAAGAAGTATAAGGCTTGTACACGGAATATGACAAAACATTACTGAAATAAACTGGAAAAGATACAAACAAATAGAAATACACCCCATGCTCATGGATTAAAGGAATTAATATTGTTAAAAAGAAAATACACCCCCAGTTGAGCTGCACATTTAATGTAAACTTTATCAAAATCCTAGGAGACTTGTTTACAGAAATAGACAAGCTGATTCAAAAACTCCTATGGAAATGCAAGGGACCCACAGGGACCAAAACAATCTTGGGAAAAAAAAAAAAAAGAAGACTAACACTTTTCTATTTCAAATCTACTGAAAAGTTACAGTAACCAAGACAGTGTGGCACTAGCATAAAGATAGACTTGGATAAATAGGTATGAATTCAGAGTCTAGAAATAAATCCACAAATCTACGATCAATTGATTTTCAACAAGGGTACCGAGACACTTAAATGGATGAAATAATTGTCTTTCCAACTAATGATGCTGGCACAACTGGGTGTTCACATGCAAAAGAATTAATTGAGTCTCTTACCTGACATTAAATACAAAAATTAGCTCAAAATGTATCAAAGACCTAAATGAAGAAACAAAAAGTATAAGAAAATTTTTAGAAGAAAACATAGGAGTGTATCTTTGTGACCTCTGATTAGGCAACGGTTTCTAAAGCAAAAGCAACAAAAGAAAAAATAGATTAATTGGACTTCATGAAAATTAATAGTATTTGTATATGAAAGTAAAGAGACAGCTCACAGAATAGGAGAAAATATCTGAAAAATCACATATTGGGTAAGGGTCTAGTATCTACCACACTTAAAGAACTCAAACTCAACAGTGAAAAAGACAAATAACCCAATTAAAGTATGGGCTAAGAATCTGAATAGACATTTCCTTAAGGAATATAAACAAATGGCCAATAGACACATGAAAAGATGCTTGACATCTTTATTCACTAGGGAAATGCAAATTCTAGCTACAAGGAGATACCACTTCATAACCAGTGGCATGGCAAAAAAAAAAAAAAAAAAAAAGGCACAATAACAAGTGTTGGAGATGATGCAGAGAATTAGAACCCTCCAACATGCCTGGATGGAAACGTAAAATGGTGCAGTGCTATGGAAAACAGTTTGGCAGTTCCTCCAAAAGTTAACATAGAGTTATTACAGTACTGACCCAGGAATTGTACTCCTAGGTACATATCCAAGACAATAGAAAACATGTGCTCACACAAAAACTTGTACATAAATCCTCATAGCAATGTTATTTAAAATAGCCAAAAAGTAGAACCAACCCTAATGTCTGTCAACTGATGAATGGATAAACAAAATGTGGTCTATCCATACAGTGGAATATTATTCAGCCATCAAAAGAATGTAATACCAATTCATGATATGACATAGATAAATCTTGAAAGCATTGTACAAAGTGAAAGAAACCAGACATAAAGCTACATATTGTATGATACCATTCATATGAAATATCCAGAAGATGCAAATCCATAGAGACAGAAAGCAGATAAGTGGTAGCCAGGAGCTGGAGGAGGAGGGAATGGGGAGGGACTGCTAATTTGTACAGTGTTTCTTTTTAGGGCAACAAAAATGTTCTGGAATTAGAGAATGGTGATAGCTACACAACCTTGTGAATATATTAAGAAACAGTGAGTTGTGTGCTTTAAAATGGTGATTTTTCTGGTACCAGAATTATATTTCAATAAAAAAGGGAAAAACAGAAAACAGTGTAAATCATGTGCTATCTTTTGCATTAAAAAGATAGTAGAAAAAATATATATGCTTGTGTTTACCTAAAGAAACTATGGAAGGATATGCAAAAAACTAATACAATTGGTTACTTAGTGAGGCAGAGGAAGTGGAAAACAGGGCAGATAGGTACAAGGAAGGGAGCAAGCCTTTTCAATGCATGCCTTTCCATATTGCTTTGCTTTTGGAATCCTGTGAATTTTACATGAACTACTATAAAACATTAAACAACAGCAACAAGCAAACAAAAATTCTCAATAAATTACTTCTATTTTTTTTTTCTGCCTGCACCACCATCTAGGCTGGACACCGCCCCCCAAATCCTGCCTTCTGGTGGGTCAATGGCACAGGAGCAGAGATCAAGTGGAGCTTTGAGGAGCTGGGGAAGCAGTCCAGGAAGGCAGCCAATGTGCTGGGGGGTGCATGTGGCCTGCAGCCTGGGGACAGAATGATGCTGGTACTCCCACGGCTCCCGGAGTGGTGGCTGGTCAGTGTGGCTTGCATGCGGACAGGTCAGTAAGCAGGGCTGCTGGGAATTTTAGCTGGGGTCAGACACAACCTGCCAGAGCTTTGCGGTGTCCACAGAGTCTTGAATATGGAGCGAAAATAAACCCTATGTGGAGTTGTGCTTACTTCCTATTTGCCCAACAGTCACAGACTTGATTGTATAATAGGGGCCAGACAGTGATGTAATTGATAAAAGCAGGTCAGTGCAAGCAGTAGGGAGTGGTGAGGACTGCGGCAAACGGGAGATCACATGCTTTATCAAATGGGGTCGCTGCTTCTCAACTCGAACCAAATGTTCCCACGACAGGATGAATACCGGTGTTATCAGAACTTCTGATTTGTAATGGAAAACTCTGGATTTTTATGAAAAATCCTCCTGTCTTTTAATGTTGGCATCTATCATTTTAAAAAGTCCTGACTGGGACAAATCAAGCTTATTTTCTGCTGGTCGTGGTTTGGGAGCCTTGCTTTAGTTGCTAGAATTTTACCTGAACCATGCAGTTATAGATGAGGGACTCCTATAACCAATCTATGTTAGTTTCACTCGTAGACTTTATGATTCTAATTATCACAGCATCATTCAGCTGCCAAAGGAAGGCAGATAAAGAGGAAATAAAAGAACTAGTGATATTATCCCTTGCAGGAGGTTAGGGGGCAGCTCCTCCTGTTGTCACGAATGTCTAGGGCAGTAAAACATTACCTTCTTCGAATGGTTCCTTCAGCAGAGACACAGAGGAGGAAAGAGGCCGCGGTGAGCCTAGCAAGCCTCCGCTGATGCTGAGTGAATGAGTGATCATGCACTTATTCAGAAGGCTAGGGTTTTTAGGCTGCTATTATTATTGTTACCTCTTCCAGCTCAGGCATTCCAACCCTCCCCAGCCCCTTCCTGCCCTCATCTCTTACCTCTATACCCAAGACCTTCCCTGCTATCCAGTCAACATCCACTTCTGTTTTATGCCAGGGGTTGTCATGATTCCGGGTGTCACTCAGCTGACGGAGAAGGACCTCAAGTACCGGCTGCAGGCGTCCAGGGCCAAGTCTATTATCACCAGTGACTCCCTAGCTCCAAGGGTGGATGCCATCAGCGCTGAATGCCCCTCCCTCCAGACCAAGCTGCTGGTGTCAGACAGCGACAGTCGGCCAGGCTGGTTGAACTTCAGGGAACTCCTCCGGTGAATTGGGGTTCTCCAGGAGAACAGCAGAAAAATGAAGTCATTTCCCCTTTAAGCAACAAAAGATGAAATGCGTTGCTGATTTCACACACAGAGAGTGAATCAGAGAGGAACACTCCCCTTGGCAGCCAGACTGACCTGAGCATAATCCTGGTCACCACCTTAATGTTCAAGGTCGCTCATTCAGTCAGTGCTGGATTTGTCAGCAGCTTTTCTGTGCTTCATTTGCTTCTATAATGGCGGTAGTCGTTATTAGAGCTACCATTCAGAGTATATGAAATAACCTATATGGTGCATTTAGTACATAGCAGGTGGTCAATTAATAATCAACTTATGGCCGTGTATTGGGTACTTAGCGTATTCCTAGATACTGTGCTATGTAAGCCTTCACCTTCATTCATTCATGTAGCAAAGGTTTAATGAACGTCTATTTCGTGACAAGCATTGTGTTTGGTGTTCAGAACACCATAATGGATAAGACATCATCTTATTTAATCCCTGAAAAGGACATGATGATGTGCCCTTCAACCCAGTTTTACAGATGAGGAAACTGAGGCTTGGAAAACTAAAGTGACTTGCCCAGGGTGTTAAAAAGTAGTTAAGTCAGGATTGGGCAGAGCCGAGACCCTATCTGCCTTAGAGCAAGGACCTGGTGGAAACCCTTCTTAGAATTTGAGACTTTGTCCTGATTGGAAGCCAGAACCCAAAAGGGGCCTCTCAGGGGCCTGAACAATTGAATCACGAATGCTCACCCCACAGACCAGCTGCATCAGATTCACCTGGATGCTGTTTTGAATACAGATGACAAGGCCTCACATCTGACCTACTTAACCAGACATAGAAGAGCAAGAGCCCTGGGGATCTTTTTTTAAAAAATCAGCCCATAGGCCTGGGCGCCGTGGCTCACACCCATAATCCCAGCACTTTTGGAGGCCGGGGCAGGCGGATCACCTGAGGTTGGGAGTTTGAGACCAGCCTGACTAACATGGAGAAACCCCTTCTCTACTGAAAATACAAAATTAGCTGGGCGTAGTGGCGCATGCCTATAATCCCAGCTACCTGGGAGGCTGAGGCAGGAGAATC